ACACACACACACACACACACACACACACACACACACACACACACCTCACCTCTGCCAGGTCTCTGATTACTCATTAGTTGAAAATCAATCTTAAAAATTTCGTCCAAGATAATTTCAGTGTTTTGTTTTTGTTTTGCAGTGATACAGTGATGCACCACTTTAGCCAATAGTTGTTTTCAGTAAGGACCTGTTTTGCATTGCAATGCATTTTTCATGAGAGCATTTTTAGAAGCGCCATCTGTTCTTTTCCTTCGCTTTTTTGTTGTGTTCTTACACTGAATGTATTATTTGCATCATAAACTTCAACTGTGTCACAAAAAAACAACAGTAATTGCTGGTGTCATACATGGGGAGCTGCCTTTTATTTCCAACAACAAACTGGGATCAGTCATGAAATGTGAAAGAAATTAAATGTTTGAAGTACAGTGATATTTTTACATTGTGCAGCATTGTCATTGCCAGGAGAGCAGCTCTTCCAAATCCATCTCAGTACTGCAAGCAGTAAAATGAGTGAGTCCCCCTTCCAAGGCTGTGCGATCACTTTATATGTGTTGTTGTATTTATAGAAAATTTACACAAACTCCAATATAAGAGGAAAGTAGAATTTTTGCATCATCAAGAAATAATTAAAAAACTTTGTGTATCCTCTATCCTATTATTTAAATTGGATTGAACTTTGCACCACTTTTCATTTCATATCTGTTCCAACATCTCTGAGATGCCCTGCTAACTCGCAAAAATGACAAACAGTCATAACCTCAGTGGTAGAAGTAATTACACTGAGAGAATAAGGGAGGTAGGAGAGTACATAATCAGTTTGTCAGCCTCAATAAGACCTCGCTCCCGCTGAGAAGAAGTAATCTACTGGAAGCTGATTTGACTGATGAACCTCCAAATAAGCCACCGAGCCAGTGAATCCATCACATTATACCGAGCATTATCCTGCCGTTATTATGGTGAACATGGAGGTTACAGTACAGCACCTGTCTGTCAGGATTCTGCATGTTTGATGATGGTATTTCACTGCACATATAGCACCAGGTTGTGCTAAAATTAAGGAGGTTACAATATGATTTGCAACAGATGTTTGTTTGCTGGACCTACATCTAAGATGATTCAGCAAAACCTTTCATCCTTCTTGTGAAGGTCATTCTAAAGTGAAGATGCACATATAATTTTTTCTGGAAAATTCAAAACCTATTTTTGTTCTGTGTTTCGAGGCAGAATAACATCTTCATTCATTCAACATGGACTGAAAACGCCTTGACCACAGTAAGATAAACTACGTTTTTAAAGGAGGATTGTTATGCTCATATTCAGCTTCAAAATTTTAATGAGTTCTGACTTGAAATGGTTTACTAGATCTAATATTCGAAAACATATCACTCTCCTCTTACAGTCCCCAATAAAATACATAAATGTATTTCCTCCCAATTGTGGAATGGACAATAGAAGATACATTTCTTTACTGAACAGATGCATAAAAAGATATTATTATTTTCAATTATATATAAATATTTGATACTTCCTGTAAATAGCTGGAGGTTCTATGTTTCTTCTGTATGAACTGAAAACACGGGACGTGAATTATAGGGATACATCACTGAGTTTGTCACTGAACGTATCTTCTGTTTAAAAAAAAATTATTCCTCATGTTGTCCACGGCTGCAGCTCCTCTTTTCAGCCTCTGTCTGAAACACTTGATTTTAGCTCGTGTCTCTTTAAGGCCCCCCTCCAGATAAAGCCGAGTCTGCTCTGATTGGGCGGCTGGCTCACTCCTGTTGTTATTGGTCAACTGTTTCTATTGGCTTTGCTGGGGGCGTGTCCGACTTACCACTAGGGGCATCATCATCATCATCATCATGTGACAGTGATGCAATACCGGCGAAGTGTTTCAGGAGCTTCAGGTGAGTTTTTTTCCCCCCTTGCTGCGGCTGTTTAACTTATTAGACCCGTTTCATACATAACCCTGTTCATCACAATAGAGGAGAGAAAAAACTGCATCATGTGTCTCCTTTAAAGAGTTTGGACCGCAGTCGAGGGCCAGATGACATTGTGATGTTCAGAGTTGCATCATGGTTAATTGTTCTCCCCTTTATCACTGCAATGATTAAAAAACTCATATTGTTTATTGTGGCTATGATTGGAATCTGCTAAACAGATCACTCCAGCCCCCTTGATACAGGACCTGCTGACAGAGGTTTCACAAATTAAAGGGTAACTGAATGTGCGGTGGAACATGATAAACATGCAGTAAAGGGACCATCTGCCCATATGGCTGGCAATAACATTACACTTCCACTCCTGCAATGGTGATAGAGAAAGTAGAGAAAACATTAGAAAGATTCACTGACGTCCCCTGTGGTCAATATGTTTTTACAGGATGATCCACTGTGCAATGAGCTTTTTTATCTTTCATGCAAAACTTCGAATTGTTTGGGTTATTTGTCTTGACGTACTATATATTCATAATACATTCATCGGCCCTCTGCGGAACACCTCGCATTGATTCCCGACGACTGTGGAATGTCTTTAATGATCTTTGTATGAAAATGAACGAAAAGGCCTGTTGTGTTTGCACGCCCCCAGAAGACGCAGCGATTTTAAAGTGAGTGAGTCATTGTAGCGAAAGTGTGGTGTGCAAAACTTTTGCACAGGGAACACTTGCCCCTGTCCTGGCAGTGTTACACAGGACGGCCATCTGCAGCCCACATGTCAGAGAGCAGCAGCCAACACGGTGGCAGATAATTGGTGAGGAAGGGGGAGGGCTGGAGCAGGAGCCTCAGTCCGAACCTACTGAAATCAATTTGCTAGAGATGGACCGACAAAACAGTCGTAAAACGCACACTCACATTTACATAACCTTCACGTGTTCCGCAGCATATGAGAAAAACCTTTAGATAGATTCCCTGGTGCTGTGAAGGTCTCCTGCCCTGAGGGGGGGGGCATCATTCTTCCACAATTCACTGCACCACTTGCTTCCATTTAACATCACTCATGTGGGGCAATGACAAAAGTCAATATGTAAAAAGAAATGAGGAAGCGCTGCTGTAGCAGTGTGTGTTGACTCATACAGTCTTTGTGCACATTTTCTGTGGAAAATTCTTTTTGCATGTCAGTCAGCATTTGCCTGAAGGGTTTTTTTGGTGCTCGGTCAGAATAACAAACCAAATATGTTGTTTCCCATGTAATATTAAAGTGGATTTACAGGCCTGTTTGAGGGGATATTTGAGGGTATATTTCTGGATGCAAGTGGTCAATTTAATGGTTGACATTTGTTTAGAACACACACACAAACACACTACGCCATATGCACCAAAAACTATCACACACTGAGTGAGAGACAATCTGTCAAAACTTGCCTACTTCTCATTTGTCTGGGAATTAAAACGAGGAGGCAGCTGAGGAATCTCAGGCAGCAATCTATTCCTCAGACAATATACTTCCACCACTTGCACGAGCCAAATGATTATTTACAGCCT